TATTAGGCTGCTCCCCACTCATTGTTTATTCTTAGGTTCAGTTTGTTAAATAGGTTTTTAGGTCAAATAAAGTGGTCCTTGTTTAACCCAGTGCCTTGTGTTTGTTATTGTGGTCTTGTTATTGTATGGTTGGTCATCAACACTGAGTTTTGATGTTTTGGAAATAGGAACCATTTGAAATCAATTTTTAACTAGTTACACCACATATCTGGCAATGTGAAGTCTGGGCTGTTTAAGTTTGTGCCATAATAATTCATTAGTCTTTAATCTGTCTTCAGACTATTAGCCCTCAGATGTTTTCCTAGATAGGACATGAGTAAGTGTGCTAGTATTTTAGTGGAACTCAGACTACATGATGGGAATGTACAAAGTGTCATTATCTATAAGCAACTGTTTGCAGACACTAACAGGAACCCTCCTTAGGTAATAGGTATGGTAGCATGGCAAGCATCATGGTGACTCTGGAAATGATGCCTTACGAGGAGTGGCTTAGAGAGATGGGTATGTTTAGCCTGGAGAAGAGAATATTAATAGGTGATATGATAGCCCTGTTTAACCATTTCAAAGGATATTATATTGAGGATGGAGCAACCTTGTTTTCTGCTGCTCCAAAGACTATCAATGGATTAAAACTACAGGAAAAATGAATCCACCTAAATATTAGGAAGAATTTCTTGATGGAAAGAGCTGTCTGACAGTGGAATACACTGCCTCAAAGTGTCATGCTGTCTCCTCCTCTGGAGGTTTTTAAACAGAGGCTGGATGGCCATATGTCGGGAGTGCTTTGGTTGTGTGTTCCTGCATGGCAGGGGGTTGAACGATGGCCCTTGTGGTCTCTTAGAGCTCTGTGATTCTATGACTCTCAGTTACCTCCTTAATTATCTCTTTGAAAATATCTTTGTTGCTATTGTTCTTTTTCAATGAAGAAGCCCATAGTTTCTTGGCTGGAACTTGAAATTATTTGTTTACTTTAATTATCTGCATATTTTTGATATACTTTGGAAGCCATTTAAATTTAGGTATTGCCATACAAAACCTGAAGGCTTGCTTTTGAAAAATACTTTGATAATTTTAAATATTAGAAATGTGAAATTAATTAATTACCACCAACATTAGGAACAGAAATAATTTGAATCATTCCAATACTGTTAATTAATTATTTTAGATACTAGCTTCCTAAACAGAACAGAACAAAGGAAATAAAGAGAAGCATGTGGAGGTTGTCCCTGTTGATTCCAAGTGCACAATTTGTTATTGGCACCTTCAAAACTATACTTGTATGACTTGGATGATTGAATAGAGAGCAAGTTTATCAAATTTTCAGATGACACGAATTTAGGAGGGGTAGCCAATACCACAGAGAACAGGATCAGAATTTTAAAAAAGACCTTAACAGATTAGAGAGCTGGGACAAAACTAACAAGATGGATTTCAACAGGGAGAAATGTAAGGTTCTACACCTAGGGAGAGAGAAAAAAATGAAGTGTGCAGATAAACAATGGGTGACACCTGACTTAACAACAGTACACAGGATTTAGAAAAGAAAAAATGTAAAACTGAGAATGAGTGATTCCAATCTTTCTTCTCTGCTCTGAAGTGAGCTGATGGCCTTAAGCAAGTTACTCCCAGTCAGCCTCATTTTCTCCATCTGCAATATATAATAATGCAGGCTTGACTTTCAGTATTATTCTAGAAATTGTAACTAAATTTCAACTTGTAACTAAACCTGAATCACTTTGAATACTTGAAAGTATGATACAAATGTTAATTGTTATTGCTGACAGAAGATGCTTTCTTTTATTGGAGCTCTTTTTAGTCATTAGAATATAGTTTTTCTGTATTGTAACTCAGGTTTACCTGCGAACCTGTTATCTTTTCATATTCTTCTCTAGTTAAAAAAAAAGGGAGGAGGAGAGAGAAAGATATTTTATTTTGTGAGAAGTATATTTAACTTGAGACCAATGAAGTGGTGCATGATGTTGTAGAACTGGTCCTTTGCTATCACAGTAAAGTGAAGAGGAAGGTTGTTGCATAGTCAAGTCTTGCTGAATCAACCTATTCATTGTACTATAAAATTATCCAGGATTTCTTCTAAACTGTCTGTTTTACAAAATCACAGACTGATACAAATCATGGCCCCAGAGAACTTTCAGTCTGAAAGACAAGACACAATGGATAGGAAAGACAAGATGACAAGAAGAAGAAAAAGCAATTAGCAAAAATAATAGTATAGTGTAGAATAGCCTAGCTTTGTCTGCATTTCTCAGCAACATAAAAAGAGAAAAGAACAGTTTATATACCACCTTTCTTTGAGAAAAGTAACAATATTCCTTCATCTTGCAAATGAGAATGTTTTCCCTAGTCATCCAAGTGGTAGAAACTGGGTGGAACTCCTAGATAAGATTTTTTTTTTTAAAAAAATGAACTCATTGTTTTCTATTACTGGCCATGCTTGGTGAAAAATAACACAAATGTCCACTGTTCTCTTCACACAATCAGTCTGTATACATTGAGAAATATACATGAAAAAGATTCTGTACAGTGGGCCCTTGCTGTCCACGCATAGTAAAAACTGCAGGACTTCAAATCCCATGGTATTTAATGTCAGTGTGCATGTGTGTGGCCACTTTACTGGGACCATGTGCATGTGTGGCCATTGAAGCAAATGGGGCTTGCCATCTGTGGATGCTCAAATTGTAGATGGCAAGCCCATGGTTGGGATGGGCAGACTGTCTTTACTTGCTTTGATATAATTTTCTGTTATATTTTTCACATGGCCTATTCTGCCCTCAGTTACCTAAATTTGCTTTATTTACTGCGATATTTAATTTACAATGTGGTTGTTAACATTTTCACAGCACTTAGACACTCTGAGCAGCCAAACAGAAATCACAAAGTTTTCTAAACTAAGGGGGGAAGCAGACGAGTGCTTCCAGGATGCCGCGGGATGGTGCACCATGGGACCGCAGCATCCGCACCACGGCGCACCGTTGGCGCCTCTGAAAGGAGCACAAAATCAGCGTAGGGTGCACTTTCACTGACTTTTCCGCCGCAGCGTGTGCAGACGCTGCAGCGGGAGGTTGCCCTCGGAGCTCCGGCCATGCGGAGGTCCGGCAGCTCTGAGGGCAATCTTGGGAGGAGGAAGGGGCGCCGATCATGCGGCTGCCCCTCCTCTTCCTTGCCTCGAGGACGGCCCAATTAGCCATCTGCCGAGGCCCTAAATCTCAACATACAGCTTTTTCTTCTCTGTCAGCCTCTGGGATTCCCTATGAATTAAGGAAAGTACCACTGTCACGTCTCTTTTGATTTTTCCCTCATTTTGTATAGCATCTGCCACCTTATTTTTCTTATATGGGGAGCTGCAGAAAATACAGGATTGTAAATGAAGTCATAATAAATGAAATAACATTCAGAAGCTGGGTTAATTAGTCCTGCTTACAATGTTTCATTCCCCATGGAAGATTTCGCTAACTTTATTTCACCAGCACATGTTTTGCCAGACTAAAGAATTGCTAAACTTGCATTAGAAGCAGAGTCCATATTGCCCAAACCTGCTTCTGCTCTCAAAGTGGCAAAATCAAAGTGACCAACAAAAGAACATGTCTGAATTCTTTTAGTTTACCTAACTTTTAGAATCAAATAAAGAATGGTTCCAAGTCTCTGACTGTGGATTCTGTAATGTTCCTAATACTGAAACATTACAAGTTCATTTACTTAAAAGACAGTGGATTTTTAAAGGCATAATTTATATTATGTTGAGTATACCTAGGCCTGGAC